CGTGCCCTGACATCCCCAGGTGACAGTAACGTGCCCTGACATCCCCAGGTGACAGTAACGTGCCGACCCCTGACATCCCCAGGTGACAGTAACGTGCCCTGACATCCCCAGATGACAGTAACGTGCCGACCCCTAACATCCCCAGGTGACAGTAACGTGCCGACCCCTGACATCCCCAGGTGACAGTAACGTGCCGACCCCTGACATTCCCAGGTGACAGTAACGTGCCGACCCCTGACATCCCCAGGTGACAGTAACGTGCCCTGACATCCCCAGGTGACAGTAACGTGCCGACCCCTGACATCCCCAGGTGACAGTAACGTGCCGACCCCTGACATCCCCAGATGACAGTAACGTGCCGACCCCTAACATCCCCAGGTGACAGTAACGTGCCGACCCCTGACATCCCCAGGTGACAGTAACGTGCCGACCCCTGACATCCCCAGGTGACAGTAACGTGCCGACCCCTGACATCCCCAGGTGACAGTAACGTGCCGACCCCTGACATCCCCAGATGACAGTAACGTGCCGACCCCTGACATCCCCAGGTGACAGTAACGTGCCGACCCCTGACATCCCCAGGTGACAGTAACGTGCCGACCCCTGACATCCCCAGGTGACAGTAACGTGCCGACCCCTGACATTCCCAGGTGACAGTAACGTGCCGACCCCTGACATCCCCAGGTGACAGTAACGTGCCGACCCCTGACATCCCCAGGTGACAGTAACGTGCCGACCCCTGACATCCCCAGGTGACAGTAACGTGCCGACCCCTGACATTCCCAGGTGACAGTAACGTGCCGACCCCTGACATCCCCAGGTGACAGTAACGTGCCGACCCCTGACATCCCCAGGTGACAGTAACGTGCCGACCCCTGACATCCCCAGGTGACAGTAACGTGCCGACCCCTAACATCCCCAGGTGACAGTAACGTGCCGACCCCTGACATCCCCAGGTGACAGTAACGTGCCGACCCCTGACATCCCCAGGTGACAGTAACGTGCCCTGACATCCCCAGGTGACAGTAACGTGCCGACCCCTGACATCCCCAGGTGACAGTAACGTGCCGACCCCTGACATCCCCAGATGACAGTAACGTGCCGACCCCTGACATTCCCAGGTGACAGTAACGTGCCGACCCCTGACATCCCCAGGTGACAGTAACGTGCCGACCCCTGACATCCCCAGGTGACAGTAACGTGCCGACCCCTAACATCCCCAGGTGACAGTAACGTGCCGACCCCTGACATCCCCAGGTGACAGTAACGTGCCGACCCCTGACATCCCCAGGTGACAGTAACGTGCCCTGACATCCCCAGGTGACAGTAACGTGCCGACCCCTGACATCCCCAGGTGACAGTAACGTGCCGACCCCTGACATCCCCAGGTGACAGTAACGTGCCGACCCCTGACATTCCCAGGTGACAGTAACGTGCCGACCCCTGACATCCCCAGGTGACAGTAACGTGCCGACCCCTGACATCCCCAGGTGACAGTAACGTGCCGACCCCTGACATCCCCAGGTGACAGTAACGTGCCGACCCCTGACATTCCCAGGTGACAGTAACGTGCCGACCCCTGACATCCCCAGGTGACAGTAACGTGCCGACCCCTGACATCCCCAGGTGACAGTAACGTGCCGACCCCTGACATCCCCAGGTGACAGTAACGTGCCGACCCCTAACATCCCCAGGTGACAGTAACGTGCCGACCCCTGACATCCCCAGGTGACAGTAACGTGCCGACCCCTGACATCCCCAGGTGACAGTAACGTGCCCTGACATCCCCAGGTGACAGTAACGTGCCGACCCCTGACATCCCCAGGTGACAGTAACGTGCCGACCCCTGACATCCCCAGATGACAGTAACGTGCCGACCCCTGACATCCCCAGGTGACAGTAACGTGCCGACCCCTGACATCCCCAGGTGACAGTAACGTGCCGACCCCTGACATCCCCAGGTGACAGTAACGTGCCGACCCCTGACATTCCCAGGTGACAGTAACGTGCCGACCCCTGACATCCCCAGGTGACAGTAACGTGCCGACCCCTGACATCCCCAGGTGACAGTAACGTGCCGACCCCTGACATCCCCAGGTGACAGTAACGTGCCGACCCCTGACATTCCCAGGTGACAGTAACGTGCCGACCCCTGACATCCCCAGGTGACAGTAACGTGCCCTGACATCCCCAGGTGACAGTAACGTGCCGACCCCTGACATCCCCAGGTGACAGTAACGTGCCGACCCCTGACATCCCCAGGTGACAGTAACGTGCCGACCCCTAACATCCCCAGGTGACAGTAACGTGCCGACCCCTGACATCCCCAGGTGACAGTAACGTGCCGACCCCTGACATCCCCAGGTGACAGTAACGTGCCGACCCCTGACATCCCCAGGTGACAGTAACGTGCCCTAACATCCCCAGGTGACAGTAACGTGCCGACCCCTGACATCCCCAGGTGACAGTAACGTGCCGACCCCTGACATCCCCAGGTGACAGTAACGTGCCGACCCCTGACATCCCCAGGTGACAGTAACGTGCCGACCCCTGACATCCCCAGGTGACAGTAACGTGCCGACCCCTGACATCCCCAGGTGACAGTAACGTGCCCTGACATCCCCAGGTGACAGTAACGTGCCGACCCCTGACATCCCCAGGTGACAGTAACGTGCCGACCCCTGACATCCCCAGGTGACAGTAACGTGCCGACCCCTGACATCCCCAGATGACAGTAACGTGCCGACCCCTGACATCCCCAGGTGACAGTAACGTGCCGACCCCTGACATTCCCAGGTGACAGTAACGTGCCGACCCCTGACATCCCCAGGTGACAGTAACGTGCCGACCCCTGACATCCCCAGGTGACAGTAACGTGCCATGACATTCCCAGGTGACAGTAACGTGCCGACCCCTGACATCCCCAGGTGACAGTAACGTGCCGACCCCTGACATCCCCAGGTGACAGTAACGTGCCGACCCCTGACATCCCCAGGTGACAGTAACGTGCCGACCCCTGACATCCCCAGGTGACAGTAACGTGCCGACCCCTGACATCCCCAGATGACAGTAACGTGCCCTGACATCCCCAGGTGACAGTAACGTGCCGACCCCTGACATCCCCAGGTGACAGTAACGTGCCGACCCCTGGCATCCCCAGGTGACAGTAACGTGCCGACCCCTGACATCCCCAGGTGACAGTAACGTGCCGACCCCTGACATCCCCAGGTGACAGTAACGTGCCGACCCCTAACATCCCCAGGTGACAGTAACGTGCCGACCCCTGACATCCCCAGGTGACAGTAACGTGCCGACCCCTGACATCCCCAGGTGACAGTAACGTGCCGACCCCTGACATCCCCAGGTGACAGTAACGTGCCGACCCCTGACATTCCCAGGTGACAGTAACGTGCCGACCCCTGACATCCCCAGGTGACAGTAACGTGCCGACCCTTGACATCCCCAGGTGACAGTAACGTGCCGACCCCTGACATCCCCAGGTGACAGTAACGTGCCGACCCCTGACATCCCCAGGTGACAGTAACGTGCCGACCCCTGACATCCCCAGGTGACAGTAACGTGCCCTGACATCCCCAGGTGACAGTAACGTGCCGACCCCTGACATCCCCAGGTGACAGTAACGTGCCGACCCCTGACATCCCCAGGTGACAGTAACGTGCCGACCCCTGACATCCCCAGGTGACAGTAACGTGCCGACCCCTGACATCCCCAGGTGACAGTAACGTGCCGACCCCTGACATCCCCAGGTGACAGTAACGTGCCGACCCCTGACATCCCCAGGTGACAGTAACGTGCCGACCCCTGACATCCCCAGGTGACAGTAACGTGCCGACCCCTGACATCCCCAGGTGACAGTAACGTGCCGACCCCTGACATCCCCAGGTGACAGTAACGTGCCGACCCCTGACATCCCCAGGTGACAGTAACGTGCCGACCCCTGACATCCCCAGGTGACAGTAACGTGCCCTGACATCCCCAGGTGACAGTAACGTGCCGACCCCTGACATCCCCAGGTGACAGTAACGTGCCGACCCCTGACATCCCCAGGTGACAGTAACGTGCCGACCCCTGACATCCCCAGGTGACAGTAACGTGCCCTGACATCCCCAGGTGACAGTAACGTGCCGACCCCTGACATCCCCAGGTGACAGTAACGTGCCGACCCCTGACATCCCCAGGTGACAGTAACGTGCCGACCCCTGACATCCCCAGGTGACAGTAACGTGCCGACCCCTGACATCCCCAGATGACAGTAACGTGCCGACCCCTGACATCCCCAGGTGACAGTAACGTGCCCTGACATCCCCAGGTGACAGTAACGTGCCGACCCCTGACATCCCCAGGTGACAGTAACGTGCCGACCCCTGACATCCCCAGGTGACAGTAACGTGCCGACCCCTGACATTCCCAGGTGACAGTAACGTGCCGACCCCTGACATCCCCAGGTGACAGTAACGTGCCGACCCCTGACATCCCCAGGTGACAGTAACGTGCCCTGACATCCCCAGGTGACAGTAACGTGCCGACCCCTGACATCCCCAGGTGACAGTAACGTGCCGACCCCTGACATCCCCAGATGACAGTAACGTGCCGACCCCTGACATCCCCAGGTGACAGTAACGTGCCGACCCCTGACATCCCCAGGTGACAGTAACGTGCCCTGACATCCCCAGGTGACAGTAACGTGCCGACCCCTAACATCCCCAGGTGACAGTAACGTGCCGACCCCTGACATCCCCAGATGACAGTAACGTGCCGACCCCTGACATCCCCAGATGACAGTAACGTGCCGACCCCTGACATCCCCAGATGACAGTAACGTGCCGACCCCTGACATCCCCAGGTGACAGTAACGTGCCGACCCCTGACATCCCCAGATGACAGTAACGTGCCGACCCCTGACATCCCCAGGTGACAGTAACCTGCCGACCCCTGACATCCCCAGGTGACAGTAACGTGCCGACCCCTGACATCCCCAGGTGACAGTAACGTGCCGACCCCTGACATCCTGAGGGAGGTGAACCTGCCCATCATCAGCAGACAGGTGTGTCAGTACTACATGGGCTACTTCTCCCAGGGTCTCATCTGTGCTGGCACCACCCAGGGGGGTGTCGACACGTGCCAGGTCAGTGGGCCTCAGCTAGTTCATGTTCTGTGTTGATGTTCTATGTTGATGTTCTATGTTGATGTTCTATGTTGATGTTCTATGTTGATGTTCTATGTTGATGTTCTATGTTGATTGTAACAACATGAATTCTTTGTTGTTGTGGGTTAGTTTTCACACAGGAATACAAGCAATAGTGGCAACTTCAAATGATGACTTTATTTACACTATATACAGTGAGAATGATAAATCCATGGTTATTCATGGTAAATCCATATTAGAAGATACTCAACAAGTACAGTCACAGTCACGACTCCAAGTCATGGAGACATCTTACATTCACTGCCATCGTTCCAGTCCCAAGTCCTAGCCCACAACACCCGTTCACCTTTTGCTCTCCCTTTTATCCGGTCCATTCTCTCCCCTTACGTACATGAGCGATCTCACCGAAAAGCATGGGAAATACATATGACGATCGCTCAGACAGTCCTTCCGCTAGCCAGGTACTCTTCATTCATGAAACTTCATGTAAAACACAATATAATAAAGATACATAATAATACAGTCTGTGACATTGATGTTCTATGTTGATGTTCTATGTTGATTTTCTATGTTGTGTTCTATGTTGATGTTCTATGTTGATGTTCTATGTTGATGTTCTAAGTTGATGTTCTATGTTGATGTTCTATGTTGATGTTCTATGTTGATGTTCTATGTTGATGTTCTATGTTGATGTTCTATGTTGATGTTCTATGTTGATGTTCTGTTGATGTTCTATGTTGATGTTCTATGTTGATGTTCTATGTTGATGTTCTATGTTGATGTTCTATGTTGATGTTCTATGTTGATGTTTTATGTTCATGTTCTATGTTGATGTTCTGTTGATGTTCTATGTTGATGTTCTATGTTGATGTTCTATGTTGATGTTCTATGTTCATGTTCTGTTGATGTTCTATGTTGATGTTCTATGTTGATGTTCTATGTTGATGTTCTATGTTGATGTTCTATGGTGATGTTCTATGTTGATGTTCTATATTGATGTTCTATGTCGATGTTCTGTGTTCATCTTCTATGTTCATGTTCTGTTGATGTTCTATGTTGATGTTCTGTTGATGTTCTATGTTGATGTTCTGTTGTTATTCTATGTTAATTTTCTATGTTGATGTTCTGTGTTGATGTTCTATGTTGATGTTCTGTGTTGATGTTCTATGTTGATGTTCTGTTAATGTTCTATGTTGATGTTCTGTTGATGATCTATGTTGATGTTCTATGTTGATGTTTTATGTTGATGTTCTATGTTCATGTTCTGTTGATGTTCTATGTTGATGTTCTATGTTGATATTCTTTTGATGTTCTATGTTGATTTTCTGTTGATGTTCTATGTTGATGTTCTATGTTGATGTTCTATGTTGATGTTCTATGTTGATGTTCTGTTGATGTTTTATGTTGAAGTTCTATGTTGATTTTCTGTTGATGGTCTATGTTGATGTTCTATGTCGATATTCTATGTTGATGTTCTATGTTGATGTTCTATGTTGAGGTTTTATGTTGATGTTCTATGTTGATGTTCTGTTGATGTTCTATGTTGAAGTTTTATGTTGATGTTCTATGTTGATGTTCTATGTTGATGTTCTTTTGATGTTCTATGTTGAAGTTCTATGTTGATGTTCTATGTTGATGTTCTATGTTGATGTTCTATGTTGATGTTATATGTTGATGTTCTGTTGCTGTTCTGTGTTGGTGTTCTATTTTGATGTTCTATGTTGATGTTCTATGTTGATGTTCTGTGTTGATATTCTATGTTGATGTTATGTTGATGTTCTATGTTAATGTTCTATGTTGATGTTCTATGTTGATGTTCTATTTTGATGTTCTATTTTGATGTTCTATGTTGATGTTCTATGTTGATGTTCTATTTGAAGTTCTATGTTGATGTTCTATGTTGATGTTCTGTTGATGTTCTATGTTGATGTTCTATGTTGATGTTCTATGTTCTATGTTGATGTTCTGTGTTGATGTTCTATGTTGATGTTCTATGTTGATTTTCTATGTTGGTGTTCTGGTGTATTTGACCTTTGACCTACACTCCCAGGGCGACTCGGGCGGACCCCTTATGTGCTACAGAAACGGCGTCTGGAAGATTGCTGGCATCGTGTCGCACGGGGTGGGGTGTGCCCGACCCCACATGTACGGCTTCTACACGGAGGTGTCAAAGTTCAACTCTTGGATCCAGTCGGTCATGAGCAGATACTGAGTCGACACTCCCACACTCCTACACTCCTACACTCCTACACTCCGACACTCCTACACTCCTACACTCCTACACTCCGACCTACCGGGGTATTTGAAGTCATTAAACCTAGCAGTCATCTTTCTCTAGTCGTTACATTTTTTTTTAATGTAAGGTTACATTAGGCTAAGGAATACACGCAAGTACTTAAGAGTACATCAACACGAGTACTTAAATGAACATCCACGCCAGTACTGGCCCAAAATGGAACCCGCCATTTTTTACGGCAGGAGGAAAAAGTTGAGAACCATTGAGATGATGAGCTGAGTCAACAATGTGTCAACAATATGACAACACTATGACAACAATATGCCTCCAACACAACATGACGTCACTACACACAACATGACGTCACCAACACCCCTGATCTTTAAAAATATTTCCATCTTAGCATTACACTCCCGCATAGCATACACGCACACGCCCAATCCCACACGCTCACACCCACACACCCACGCGCACACACACACACACAGGCTGGCACAACACATCTACTTAAATAAACCGGGAATGATCTCCCCTAAACTTTCTCGAGTATTCTTATATAACACTACGGAGGATGGAAACTCGGGACTAAGACAGGCTTTTTAATCATTTTTTTTTTGTTTTACAAATTTAAACTTTATTAAAATAGAATAGAATCCCGTAGAAAATAGAATTGCGCACCAAGTGAACAGCAAACAATGCGTGTTCGAACATTAGTAGTTTATAAGTTCATATCGTTGTTTTTTTTTTTTTTTTTAGAAATCGGTAATAGCGTAAAGTACAACTTACGGTAAGCCAGAATGTACTCAAAATTTGACAGAAAACAGAGAATTAGATATTTTTATAATGTGTGAAATTTTATCTTTTTATCACACGCAGTACTCAATTTATAGGCTTTTGGAAAACTTTTTAAAAAATAAGCTCCACTTCCGGTTACTGAAAAAGTTGAAACAGAACTACAAATTCGATATGGTACTTATATATGAAATTTCATCAACCTAGCTGTAACGGTACTCTAGTTATCTTGTTCACAGACACACACACACACACACACACACACATATATATATATATAATATATATATATATATATATATATATAGAGAGAGAGAGAGAGAGAGAGAGAGAGAGAGAGAGAGAGAGAGAGAGAGAGAGAGAGAGAGAGAGAGAGAGAGAGAGAGAGAGAGAGAGAGAGAGAGAGAGAGAGAGAGAGAGAGAGAGAGAGAGAGACAAGACTGTAAAATTATGATTTTCCGATTCAAGGAGGTGGTGTAAAACATCGAGATTTGTTAGCCTTTTTTTTTTCACGATTACAATACTTCCTCTATACTTCCTCTATACTTCCTCTATACTTCCTCTATACTTCCTCTATACTTCCTCTATACTTCCTCTATACTCGGTATATCAGAAAGTAAAAACTTCATACAGAAAATAGGAGAGAAAAGGCATGAGGCTGTTTTCAAAGTTACCTGACCGTTTCAATATATGCGACATTTTACAAGCTTTTATTTAACTCATTTCCTCTGTCGTCAGTCTGTCTAGATCGAAACGCCCGTGCGAAATTGCGGGCACTTCTAACTGACAGATACGGTTTGTAGTTGGTACATGGGTCAAGACATGAAGACAATGCATTATGACATTAAAGTTGACTTAATTGGATGCCTAATTAATTTTTTTATGAATTAATTAATATTTTGACCGAATTAGTAGACAGTTCTATCCACACGCGTCATCACGGCAGTCTTGGGCGTGTAGCGACGGGGGGGGGGGGGGGGGGGGGAGGTTAGGCCGCTATAATAATAAGTATTTAAACAAGCGGCCCACGCTTTTATTTATAGTGATATAAATAGTAGTGCATTGATATATTTAAAGAAAGAAATTTTTTTACATTTAAAGTAACCGCAGATTTATTTTATTTTTAAAAATTATTTTATATTTAATAAAAAACCGGTAGTGATCTCCCCTAAACTTTCTCGAATATTCTTATATAAAACAACAGGGGATGGTAACTGGGGATATAGTTATGATCTTTAATCCATTTTAAATACTGAAACTTTTAAAAATAGAATAAAATCTCAGTAAAAAACAATTGCGCACCAAGCGAACGCCTAATAAAGGTGTGTATAATAGTGCGCAATAGTATTAGTACTTTATAAATTTACATTAGTTTTTTGAGAAATCGGAAGTAGCGTAAAGTACTACTTCCGGTCAACGGAAATTACTCAAAATTTAACAGAAGGTAGAGAATTAGATCTTTTACTTACATGTGAAATTTCATTTATCTATCTGAAATAGTACTCAAGTTATAGGCTTTTGAAAAATTCAAAGTAGAAAAAGTACCACTTCCGGTTATCCGAAATCGCTCAAAAGTTGATACGGATCTACGATTTTGATATAATACTTGTATATGAAATTTCATCAACCTAGCTGTAACGGTACTCAAGTTATCGTGTTTACACACGGACACACACACACACACACACACACACACACACACGGACACACAGACATACGGACAAGATTGCAAAATTATGTTTTTCCGTATCAGTGAGATGTAAAACGTCGAGATTTGCAAAAATCTCGATTTTTTTTTTTTGCACGATTACAAGACTTTCTCTATACCTCGTATATACGAGAAAGTAAAAAATTGCACTATTTTCTTCTTTTTAGTGCATTTAAAAAAGCTTGAAATTATAAACGTTTTTTTTTAATGTATTTATTATTCCTTTTTGAATCATCAATAAACGACTTCCGGTTATTCAACGCTCATTACCTCGTCATTTGTGTGACGTCACATCTAGACGGCCGTAACTTTCACTCTAGCCGTAGTTCCCAACTAAATCTAGATGTACAACAGCCGTCCCGTCAATCTAGACACTCCCAGTCAAGGACATCATTGTTCATGTGTGTGGGACGGGGGGGGGGGGCGTGAGGTTTGAGGGCGGTCGTTGGAGGGGGTGAGGTTGATCTCGATACGTCTTGTCTCCACGTGTCAGTCCACCTTTGTCTTCCCAGAGACCGCTGACACGGATATGTACCGTTTGATTGTCACCAAGTTCAGGTAAGGTAATCATATAGTCATAAGGTAATCATATAGTCATAATGTAACCATATAGTCATAATGTAACCATATAGTCATAAGGTAATCATATAGTCATAAGGTAACCATCTAGTCATAAGGTATCCATCTAGTCATAAGGTAACCATCTAGTCATAAGGTAACCATCTAGTCATAAGGCAACCATCTAGTTTTTGACATAAGGTAACCATCTAATCGTTAGGTAACCATCTAGTCATAAGGTAACCATCTAATCGTTAGGTAACCATCTAGTCATAAGGTAACCATCTAGTCATAAGGTAACCATCTAGTCATAAGGTAACCATATAGTCATAAGGTAACCATATAGTTATAAGGTAACCATCTAGCTTTTGACATAAGGTAACCATCTAGTCATAAGGTAACCATCTAGTCATAAGGTAACCATCTAGTCATAAGGTAACCATCTAGTCATAAGGTAATCATATAGTCATAAGGTAATCATATAGTCATAAGGTAACCATATAGTCATAAGGTAACCATCTAGTCATAAGGTAATCATATAGTCATAAGGTAATCATATAGTCATAAGGTAATCATCTAGTCATAAGGTAACCATCTAGTTTTTGACATAAGGTAACCATCTAATCGTAAGGTAACCATCTAGTCATAAGGTAATCATATAGTCATAAGGTAACCATCTAGTTTTTGAGATAAGTTAACCAGCTAGTCATAAGGTAACCATCTAGTCATAAGGTAATCATATAGTCATAAGGTAACCATATAGTCATAAGGTAACCATCTAGTCATAAGGTAACCATCTAGTCATAAGGTAACCATCTAGTCATAAGGTAACCATCTAGTTTTTGACATAAGGTAACCATCTAATCGTTAGGTAACCATCTAGGCATAAGGTAATCATATAGTCATAAGGTAACCATCTAGTTTTTGACATAAGTTAACCAGCTAGTCATAAGGTAACCATCTAGTCATAAGGTAATCATATAGTCATAAGGTAATCATATAGTCATAAGGTAACCATCTAGTCATAAGGTAACCATCTAGTCATAAGGTAACCATCTAGTTTTTGACATAAGGTAACCATCTAATCGTTAGGTAACCATCTAGGCATAAGGTAATCATATAGTCATAAGGTAATCATATAGTCATAAGGTAAACATATAGTCATAAGGTAACCATCTAGTTTTTGACATAAGGTAACCAGCTAGTCATAAGGTAACCATATAGTCATAAGGTAATCATATAGTCAAAAGGTAATCATATAGTCATAAGGTAATCATATAGTCATAAGGTAATCATATAGTCATAAGGTAACCATCTAGTTTTTGACATAAGGTAACCAGCTAGTCATAAGGTAACCATCTAGTCATAAGGTAATCATATAATCATAAGGTAACCATCTAGCCATAAGGTAACCATCTAGTTTTTGACAAAAGGTTACCATCTAGTTTTTGACATAAGATAACCATCTAGTTTTTGACATATGGTAACCATTGAGTTTTTGACATAAGATAACCATCTAGTTTTTGATATAAGGTAACCATCTAGTTTTTGACATAAGGTAACCATCTAGTTTTTGACATAAGGTAATCATTGAGTTTTAACATAAGGTAACAATCTATGTTTTTTACAAAAGATAACAATCTAGTTTTTGACACAAGGTAACAATCTAGTTTTTGACACAAGGTAGCAATTTAATTTTGACATCTAGTTTTTGACATAAGGTTACCATCTACTTTTTGCCATAAGATGACCATCTAGTTTTTGACATTAACACAAATGCAAACGCAAAAAACGAAAACGCAAACACAACACTCATAACATAAACACAACTTAAATGCAAACATAAACGGATAGTGCTCACAGTCTTGCCCGGGGGGGGGGGGGGGGGCGGCGTATCCGCCTGATTCAACTGAATGAACAACTATAATACCCCAACTTATCCATAAAATAAACAAAAAGCAGTATTTAAAATATCCGTGTTTTACCCATCGTATTGCACTTTATCAATCCATGCTAATTATATTATTCCAACAATAATG